AAACGTGTTCGACATAATTATTGCAAAGTTACCATACGAGATTCGAAGTGGGACACCAGGTTAAATTAATGTATCGGATAAAATGTTTTTATCAGCCGCAATTAAGATACATAGCCTTTCGTATTCTAAATTGTTTCCTGCAGATTAAAGAAATGAATTATGTTGGTGCGATAGTTCCGCGAATTCGCATGAGGGTGTTTCGCTTTCGGCGTTTCTGATCGATGATATATGCCGCCACCTAGAATTATGGCACAATCCGGATCCGTTATCGTTGTTAGTAGATATTTAAATTTAAAAATAGCTTTTTACGCCTCACAGAAGATGAGCGTAAGTGACAAAACGATGGTGCTATGTAAAAATTGTGCTAGCGAGGCGATAAACCTCGATCAATAAGTAAGATTCATGATTACAACTTTGTTGCGCTTAGTGATTTCGCGATACAGGAAGAGCACGAAAAAGTGGTATAGAGAAGGTAAAGGAGTCGGCTCGGTACGCTTTAGATGCTCGCCCCTTGAGGTAAGCGGTGTCAATATTCCAATCGATATTTGACTTTATAGACACACAATATAACTGATATAAAAAATTGACATTTAAGTACGTTGTTTTAATATGAGAAAGGTTACCGATTCTCGACGCGCTTTACAGAAAATTGGTGTGGTATACACAGACTATAAATGTACGTCGTCTATGGCCGCGGCACACAGGTTCTTCTATATGAAAGCTTGATGCGATATCACCGTTTAAGAGTATAGCATGACACTACAAAATAGCGATAAAGCTTTGTTCAATGTTATAACGTGGTTAGACATCTCCGCAATCTGGGTATCGAAAAAGACATTATGTGTGTGACATAATGGCGACAAATACATACTATTTTTATGACAAGCCGTCGATTGCATGACGCAATATTTTGTTTAAAGACCAAGTGTGACACAATTAAACGGTACAAGTATGCAACGCGGTTAAGTGAACAATAATTTGTTTTTTTCGGGTAGTCAAATGTAATCGAAGCACATATGTTATAATATCCATGTAATGGGGCACCAGCATATACTTATTGCCTACACTACGAGCCAAACCTTACTGAGTATATTGTAAGCTAGTGCCGCACCGCCTCACATACACAAAAGCAGAGGGAGGCATCACTGCTGCACTCCAACTTTAAAAGTAAAGTATTTATAATGTAATACAATATATCAAGTCTGAAATGCTATCTTCTAAAAATTTCCGACCGAATGTGTACACAATCATGTATGGTGACGTCCGCTTATCATTCATTGAGCGCGTCATGACGGTAAATGGGACTTTAAAATGACCGATATCAACCGATATATAGAATCTCGGGTCACTGCAACAAATGATTGTAGATAGTAATATTTCTGTTAGAGGAATGTTTAACAGAGTATTCATCATGGTCATTTCTTTGCAAATATCAAACAATGTGCATCAATTTCTCCTTGTTATGATCATGAAGACGCAATATATCGATACACAACGTCATTGCTCAAGATACATGCATCGTTCTTAATAGAAATAGATTGTGGTATGAAGCAACACAGACACTTAGATGTAAAGTATACATCAAAGAATGAAAAATGGACTGTCTATCAATCAATAAGTGTACTAATATATTACAATTATGATATGACTTTTTAAATGATGGGTACGACAATTTCGAAGTAACTTGCACGTCAAAGTAAGTAAAGCACCCGAACTGACTTTAATGTGGACACATTTGTGAAATTTTGATTGTTGAAAAAAAAACAATTTCACGTACTTTTGATAAATTACGAATATGTAACGATATCGAAATGTAACAAAATATTTGTGTGTTTGCATTATAAAAAGAAGACGACCAATCTATCCGGGTTCTGGCTCTATTCTACAGGTCATGCTAAAGCGCTACGGTATTTGTTAAAAGAAAACGAATTTGGAAGTAGTTGATATCGACTTAAACAGTTATCGAAAGGCAGGTCAGGCTTAGTACTCGGCACATTATTTTTCGGTGAATGACCACTTATTCATTCCTACTGACTTACACGCATCCATGATCTTTGCCTGCCAGATGATGAGGCGTGTCGACGAACACAATCCTCGAGCACGCCATTCTAAATATTCTCCCTGTGTTGCTTAACCAGAGCGTAAAAGTGTAAATGAACTACTAGACATTACTGCAATTGAAAGCAGCTCTCTCCGCATACATAAGAATAACTAGAATCGACCAAACAATCGAATCTTACCAGCAGCTTGCAAATATAGTCTCTTTGAAATATCAGAAGGAACAACCGCATGCTAGGTAGATTGAGAAACAGAGACTTAGATGAACTGGATTTCTTGGGTTGATATCAATACAGAACTAGATCGTTGTACGGGTGCTTTTCTTTAGCGGTTGGCAGGAGATCTTTTGCCTAACATTTAAAAGCGAAACGACATCTTTCAAAGCTGTTACGGAGAACTTATAACATCCTGACTCACAACCACACCATAAAAACGATTGTTCACTAGAGATCAGATATAAGACATTCTATTCGTCAATCGACACGGTTGGACGCCAGGACACAAAAATTGATGTAAAAATCAACACTAGAATGTCTACTACTCCACACTGCCACATCTGAAGCGACGTTATTTATGAGTGTATACCACTCTCTATACTATCCGTTGAGGCATCTTCATATCTGCGCTTTTATGTCGTTCTTCACAAATTTAATAATGCGATACCAGCAAATGGTATAATATTATAATACGAACGTGGGGCCAAAGGATGTGTACATTAATTTCCAGTTACACCACTCTTGACTGTTACAGCATCTACTTTGAGGCCGCTATTTGAGAAAGAGTTTAGGCACCTCATTCATCTCCGTGCTCACTTCTACTTAAGTCTTTGTTCCCTCGATACTAAAGTGGTTGTGCATCACTTACATACAGCAGCAGCTAACGAAATCAGTTTTACCTTGCTCACACCCAAATTACATGACACCGTGGTCCATGTACTCTTTGTTGCACCTGAATCTATGGTTTGCAGCAAGGAGCAACTGGACTTCACATGTATTTAGTAAATGGGCTCTACGGCACGATTGATGACGTCACATTTTCGTTGTCAGACTTTGTTTACGAATTTACTTTTCCACGTAGATGTTGCTACCAGCCTTTTGGACAAATCATGGCCATATGCGACTAATAAAGCATGAATTTGATTTAAACAAATTCTTGCCTTGTGTAAAAGGTTTACTATACATTTAGAAAGGCTCTCCTTGCATGTTTACGATATTTAAGATATAGCTGTACTTGAGGATGGACTATTAATACTCGCCGCCTGTTTCATTATATTATTGGCTTCCGAACTTCGATTCGTTTTCAATGTCCGAATTATATTTGCAAACGCCCATACTGTTCTTTGATTTGCTCGTGCATCACAGTTATGCTGTGTTTTTTTTAAAAGAAACGAACCGCAGTTTGTGTTAGCTAAAATCTCTCCAATTGGTCAAAAGTAGCTCTCGATCCCAAAACTTTCCCACTTCCCGGATCGACTGTACAAAAACAACCTGCCCCGTAAAAATGTTTGTCCTAACGAGCAGACGTTGCTCACTGGACACGCTAAGCGGATGGAGCTCGTCAGTGACCCTTACAACAGTGTTTGCTTATGTTGGCTCTTCGCTCCTGACGCAAGTAGATGCTGCAGTCGAATTGTCGTGTCAGGCGCAAAGGAATTCGCGCTGCTGAATGAAAAGGCTTTGTACGACTATGTCGTACCTTCCACACTTCAGTCAAGCAGGCAGAAGTCGTGAGGTGAGGGATGATGTTGGAAGCCTTTACTGATCAGATGGAGAGAGAGAGAGAGAGAGAGAGAGAGAGAGAGAGAGAGAGAGAGAGAGAGAGAGAGAGAGAGAGAGAGAGAGAGGAGAGAGAGAGAGATTCATGACTATCTATTACACAGGATGGTTATGCGCTAGAAGTCTGAAATCTTCTAAGTCGAGAATACAGCGCCGGTCGCGGCGGTGGTTCAAGGCACCCCTCTAGTGGTAGCGAAACCCCGCTAGCATCAAGAGTAAAAAGTTCAAGGGAGCTACTGATCAGATGGATCGAGGATCGATTCCGCCGGTGTTATTATTGGCGAAGGTTCTTTTGAAACATACCTTCTGTGTTGATCTGTCTGGCATTAAGACAGCAGCTGGCGTGATGTTTAGAGCTCGAGAGAGGCGTAGCAAACCTGCAACATCCGGTCCACGACGAGTCGAGTCCAGTTTTGTGCAGAGTCACACACACACACACACCTCCAGCTTTTACAAAGCAACAGTGCTACAAGCACAAAACAGGCGGCGGTACGTGCGTTCCAGCGCGGATAAGACGCGAGCTCCGGTCTCGTTCGGACTCGTGATCGCTGAACGGACCACGTTCTTCAAGGATTCTGGCAAGCGTCAGACGTGCTTATTTCCTTACCTTCAACGTGGCGTGAAAGAAAGACTCGCGCTGGGACTATCCTACCGGCTCGACCCCTCTCTGCGACGGAAACGACTACAAACACACGACCCCACACGGCCAGCCGACCAGCACAAAAAATGTCGTCGACAAAAAGTCAGCCACTTTCAACGGGAAAACTGTACTCCATGTGTGGAATTCTTTACAATATAATTAGTGTCTGGAAAACAAGCGCTCACCACTTCGAGAGCTGCTCGGCAAACAATCGACAGACGATACTGCTTGTCCCACTTGACTCGTGTTGCTGCTCCTGCTGCTGCTGTTGCTGCTGTTGCCGAACGGCCACGTCAAAGCTCATCAATTGGCTGCGTCCCCTTGCGGCGGTGCTGTAGCGTATAGAGACGGACGGTGAGCAGTCAGTTTCCACGCGGCCCCGTCGCTTGATATTGCCGACCAACGTACGCCCTCGTCAACACAAGGTGAGTGTGTCTATGGGCGAGCGAACGCGTGCGCAGCTGCTCCTTCACTCGCCCGCTCGCTGTCTCTGTGTACGATTTTAAGCGCCCGACGTCGCTCAGCGTCTATCGCTTCCGCGAGACGGCCAACATGATCAAAGCCGACAGGTCGAACGACGGGCCGCCCTGTCGCTTCACCAGCGGATCCATACACCTCGACGAGCGTAGAGGGCACAGGCCGTGGAGAAACCGCGACTCGGTCGTCGCCTGTGCCTCAACCGGTGCCGTCCTCACGAGCGCCCGCACGTTCGACCGCCTCCGCCGGTGGCTCACGTCGCCGTCGTCCGTGTCGTATAGCCCAAAGCCGTCAAAGCTGCTCGTGATCTCCGCCACGCGCTGCGGGTTCTTCTTCTTCTTCCGCCACAGTATCTGCCGACGGAACGGATGCCGCTCGTTGCTGTCGATGGCGTCGGCACCTGTCGCCTCGACGCTGCAGCGCACAGGCGACGCCCACGTGCGCTGCGTCCCGTTCTGCGTCGATGCGTCGATGGTCTGAACGCCGGCGCGCGGCCGGACAGCGCCCCGTCGCATGTCGGTATTCTTGTCGCTGCTGCTCGGGACACTGTCCACGGACGCCCGGGAGCGCTTGCAGCCGTGCGGACAGAGCTCGACGGGCGACGACGGAGGCGGCCACGTCGCGTCCACGTGCGCTGGTGGGGCAGCGCAGTGGGCCACTGACTCGGCGGCGAGGGCCACGAGATCGTCGCAGGCGCGCGAGCGCTTCATCGTCGGCAGTCAGTCGGTCGGTCAATGAATCGAGTCGGGCGAAAGGGCAACAACTGATATGGCGCGTCCGCCGCTGCGTGGGGAGCGACGAAAAGCAAACTGAGCGACGGCGACGACAAGAACAGCGACGTCCGCTGCGTGCGCTGTTGTGGTTTCTTGAATAGGGTCAGCGACAGAGGCACGAGGAAGTAGGGGGCGGCGGTAGACGGGGCGGGCGGCGTCGAGAGAAGGGCCGCCGCGGGCTCCAGCGACTTGTCCTGGGCGCGGAGCCAGCAGCAGTAGCTTAATCCGCGCGCACCCCTTCCCCCGCACGCACTTCCACCCCGCCTTCCCAGCCCCAAGTTGAACCAGCAGCGCTGAAACGGCTGCCGCGAGACTCGATCTCTCTCTCGTTCTCTCGTTGTCTTTCTCTATCTCTTTCTATCTCTTTCTCGCGCTCTGTGTCGAAAAGCGACCGCCGTTGCCGTCCCAAGCTGTGAAGAACGGGCGCTGATCACGGCGTCAAATCGTTGCCGCCCGTCTTCAAGCTGCGAGAAGTGCGCGCGCTTCTATTTGCGGCCACGAAAAGTCGAGAGAAAGGCGGCAGTGCAAACACACGTCGGGCCAATGCGCGAGGACGACGTCGAGCACGATCGGCGTTCCGCCGCGCCGTCGTCTCCTCGCGCACGGGGCAACTTCAAGTGGAAACGCGGCCTCTACGACGACCGCGCGGTCGATTCTACATGAAAAAACGTGGGCGCCACATTACCGCGACATTGTCCGATCTTCCGAAACGCATGTTGAAGTTCCAGCCCGTGGCCAGAGTCGGGCCATCTGGGTAGTAAACCAGTGCACTGAAGCCTCGAGACGACGTCGACTACGCACAGACTCTTTTCGACGACCACTCGCGACCGTTGCTATTGCTATTGCTGCTACTGCTACTGACGGATAGAGGATGGATGGATGGATACACTGTCCGCCTGACGTTGTTGGCACAACACGTGGACTGTATTGACCAGCACGCTCTGCACTGGCAACCACTTGACTGGACAAATGACCGCACTTGCATTAAACTTGCACAGACGATGGCGACGAGCAAATCATGAGACATTGCGAGGCCCTTAGAGAGCGGAGCACGCTGCGGACTTGTGCCGTGCTGTCGGCCGTCCACTCCTCTCATCACCACTGGCCCTACAGAACTAGTAGCCCCTACTCTCGTGTCGAAATTACACCTCACCAACGTCTCACTCACTTTCACTAGCGCGTACTCGGTCGGCATCAGTGTCGACATTGCCCGAGCGGTCGGCTGCGGGTCGTCGTGCGACAATGGGCCATCGCAAGACTGGACACGTTGAATGTTTTAGTATTAAGTTACCGTATTGACGAGCTCTGCGGCGGGGGCCCAAAGCGCCGGTGACCCGACGTGGATCCCACAACCCCTACGCCCTGTCCGACCGTCCTGTAGTTGAACCTGAGAGCCGCACCTTACAATATGCGCTCTGCACCGACGGCCTTTCCAACGGACCCGGCAAAACGACTCGCCCCTCCTCCGTCCATTCGGTTTCGGCCCCTCGGCGCCAACCAATTGGTTCTCGCCGTCTACTTCGTCGGCAATCATCATCCGACTACGACGGGACGGAACTGTCCACGCTCGTCGTGCATAGTAGCGATCTCACACCAGCAGCGCGGCCGACGCGTGTCGTCTTGACAGCGACGGGCTGCACCCTTTTGCACGACTAAGTGGTTGTCACTTGGGCTGCAACGGTGTCGCCCCCTCTAGTGTTCAGCAACGCAGTACGTCGGAATGAATGCCGCTCGCTTGAAAGCGCCGTTATTGCTCCACATTGTAGTATCGTTGCCCAAACGTGCCCTCCGCCGCAATATGCGGCGTAGAACGTCCCACCCGTTTCATACGTCGAGTTGCGGTCTGCTCTGTGTGTGTACGGGTACAGTTGAGACGAGTGTCGTAGAATCGGTCACAGTAAGGAAGAAACAGGGGCGAGGCCACTTAATATAATATCTCTTATTGTTGGAGGAGCAGCTCTTGCGTGCTGCTCGCGGTATGCCATATGATCGATCGCGGGTTGTGCGACGTAGATAGCTCTGGATGTCGCGCGGAGATATCAATGCGCCATGACGCTCGGGTCTTCCACACAGAATCACGAGGTGCGGGCCCAGCTCGTTCATGCTTGTGACTGAGTGTTGCAACGACCAAGAGCGCAGCGATGTGCGTATACACCGAAAGGGCCGTATACTAGGTTGTTCAGGCTTGCGCAACACCAGTTGGCGGCGAGTGAGAGGGATGCTGAACGCGCCCATGGCGCGAGGTCTGGACTTGAGCACCTAAGGTCAGACGCCAGACACCATCTTTATGCTGTTGGTAAAGTTGCCATCTCCATGCTGCTTGTGGCCGCACATCACAAGTAGTGGGACACAGCATGTCCGAGTAGGCAACATCGCGACGTAGAGATGCCAGCTACCGATAGCTGAACAATTTGGCACAGCTGCTTCCAGCTGAGCGCAGGGTCGTCCACCCTCGTTTATGGTATCGTCAAGCGGTCGGTGTGGTGAAAGCACTGCTCATCGACTCAGTCACCATGCGGTCTCTGACAGCTAAACTGATTTGCTTACCCGTCAAGACCAATCTACTTGAAAACACGTGTCGAATCTTAACTCGACCCATCGATACGATGCTCGCTACACGAATAACCGCTGCCTCATCGCACGCGAAGCTCAGCTTTCTTTCGCGCAAGGTGACGCAAGGCACAGTCCACACAACTTCAACACGGCGAACAAGTTGGCGCAATGCTAGTCACACGTAATGTGTGCGTGTTGAGTGTGGTGTCGTGCTACGTGGCCAGTGCGCGGCTGCTTGGGAAGAAGTTAGTACGTGCGTTTGATCGGCAATCTAAAACTCGTCGCACGGTAGGCGGCGTACCGCTGGCGATCGATCGTTTGTGCACGACAAAGCAGGGAACATGAAGCGCTTTGGATACACGTGGGTGATCAATCCACAACACACGCAGCTCGTGTTGCATTTGATTCGACATTCGCCACTTCTTCGTTTCTGCGTTGCGATAGTATCTTCATTTAGTCTGATGTTTGACCATTAGCGCTCGCGATCATCGCCACTCGGTAGCAGCCCGCAGCTTTCACGTCGCTGCCGAACGATAGGCGACGCTTGGAAAGCCTTGCACGGAAGCGCGACGGACCATACGGGGACATCTGTGTCGATGTCAGAGCTGCTATGGTAATCATCCACATTTAGTGGGTGCATCAGTGGCTGCTGTTGCTGCGTTTGGTCTGAACGGAAGGGGAAGGACTGACGCACTGGTCGAGCAATCCTCTTTCGAGCAGTTCTCCGGCTTTTTGTAGCGGTCAAGATACGAAGAACTGGAGAGAACGTCGAATGCACACAAACATTGTCGAATCCGTAATCAAACACGCACGTCCCATCAATGCCTTTTTCTACGTGCTTATGTGGGCGACCTGAGAAGTGGCGCGAAGGTCGTTGCGTGCAGAAAGGGTCCATCCCACCTTCAAGCTTAGCTTCAACTTCTTCCTTTTCACTCCGACGATGAAGTCAGGTTGTTACACTAACTCCACCTTTTCGTTCCGCATCGGGTGTACGAACTGGTTGGGGGACGGCTTCAGGAGCTCCGAGTGGACTCGTTCACTTGCTGCAAACGATTGAGTGGATAAGTAGGACAAACAACGATCGCTTACGACCTGACGTCTGATCGGCGCATGCACCGCTCTTTTGTGACGTTGGTGTCGCTCGTCTGCTTGTGATCGTCAGTCTTTGTGCCTGTACGTGAATCCGACGTCTGGTCGCGTGTGTGAGTCGAAGAAAGAGTCACAGCGATTGCCTCGCCATACTTACACTTGTGGTAGCGTGTAGAATCGTCAGGTGCAGCGTGCGAAGGAAATAGCTGCGCTTGCTTCTCGATGTATTGCAGTCATTTATGTCGAGCCTGACGAGTAAGAGCATACCGAGATGCGATCGAAGCAGACATGTCGGAAGCAGATGCTGCTCTTTTACGTCCACTACGAGACATGGTGCAGCTGGGTAGTCTGGAGAGCCAGCCCAAAGTGAACAACGAGCGGCGTGGCTTCATTGATAAACACTAACGACTCCACCTCGAATATCTACGGCCGACCGGCCATTAGCGACATCACGTCCCTCCATGTTGGAGCGTCAACCGCTACTGTTTACGCCATCATGGCAATTTTCGATACCGCCACAAGCACGTACATGGGTTGTGAGGCGGATTCAGGGGAGCTCCCGATCAAGAGCCGGTGCCAGCGCATCCGACCAAAGGCGTAACGGAGAGAAGCACTACAGCTCTTATGAATGGGCTCGACTTGAATGCAAGGACAGATGAGTGGTAGCGCGTAGCACTACGGCAAACGCCGGCGCAGGTCTGGTACCGCAGCTACGTTCTACTAGCTATCAAGCCTGCACGAGTTATAGTCATCAACAGTCGACTCGACTTGTAGTTTAGCGGGAGAAAATCGAATAATTGCGGCCGGAAAATAGTCTGCGGAGCGGCAACGACTGAGACCATGCGGCACATATTCCGGTACTGTCAGGTGCAGCGTCTCCTCGGGACAAAGTGGTGAGCCACTGAACCGGAGAATGGGTGCTGCATCAGCAAACGCGGTTCTTTCTCGTAGAGTGTGCTAGCTGACAGGTATCATGGGTACCAGCGCACCGGCAGAGGGGAGCGTCGTGAACAGGTTCACAGATGATGCATCATAGGGGTCGAGAAAGGTAGGAGGCGCAGCTGGCCTGCCAAACACGCATTCGACAACGCATGGACAGGAACGCGACGGTGTTTTGCAGTCAACACATCCATAGCAGTACAGAGCAACAGTGGGCGGCGTGCACCGGAGAGGTACCCGTGCGGTCATGAGACACGAAGCCTGTTGAACCAAAACAGCCATACGGGGGCGACGTCCTAACGTTACAGTCAATTGCCCGTTCGACAACTCGATGATCCACCTTTTTGGAAATCAGG